TTTTTTTTTTTTTTAATTTATTTGACAGAGAGAGAGAGAGAGATCACAAGTAGGCAGAGGCAGGCGGGGCGGAGGGGTGGAGAGTGGGGGGAAGCAGGCTCCCTGCTGAGCAGAGAGCCTGATGTGGTGGGGCTCGATTCCAGGACCCTGAGATCATGACCTGAGCCAAGGGCAGAGGCTTTAACCCACTGAGCCACCCAGGCGCCCCAATAATTTTTTTAAAGAGAAAAAAAAGAAAAAGAAAAGTAAAACGACAAGAAGTTCATATATCAGTAAAAATGTAAAAAGGAGAAATGGCTATAGATAAAGGTGCGGCGGAGCCATTTTACAACTCACCTAAAGGAGACATTTCATTTTTCAACCCATTTCATCGATATATAATTGAAACACAACTGACCAATTTTCAGCGCCCAGCTTGGTGAGCTTTGTCACACAGTAGTGTATTCACTACCAGAATCTAGATACAGAACATACTTCCATCAGCTCCGCAAGTTTCCTAATGCCCTTATATGAATCCCCTCTCCCATTCCCTGCCCCTGGCAGCCACTGATCTGCTTCCTGTCACTAGTCTTGCCTTTTCTAGAACTTTACACAAACAGAATGTACAGTGAGTAGTCTGTATGATTGTTTCTGTAGTGGTTTTTCTCTGGCTTCCGTAGCTTACTTAGCATAGGCTTTTCAGATTCATGCATGTGGTTTCGTCTACCAGTAGCTTAGTCTGTTTGAGCGCCCCCTGGAGGTACTCATTCGCATGAATAGGCCACAATTTATTCACTTACTGATGAACGTTTGAGTTATTTCTTATTTTTTTAATTCATTTTTCTGTCATGGTAAAATGTGTACATCATAAAATTTGTTATTTTAACCATTTTAAAGTGTCCAATGTAGTAGCATTAAATGCACTCAAAATGCTGTGTAACCATCACCACTATCTATTCCCAAAATTCTTTCATCACCCCAAACAGAAACTCTGTAACCATTAAACAGTAACTCCCCATATCCCTATCCATGGACCCTGGCGGCTACTAATCTACTTTCTGTCTCTGTGAAGGCACCTACTCTGGATATTTCACAGAAGTGAAATCACACAGTATTTGTCCTTCAGTGTCTGGCTTATTTTATTCAGCATCATGCTCTCAGGGTTCATGCATGTCGTGGCGTATTTCAGAACTTCTTTCCTTTTTATGGCTGAATAATATTCCATTGTGTGTATATGCCATATTTTGTTTATCCGTTTATCTTCTGGTGGACACTTAGGTTGTTTCCATATTTCTTTTTTGTAGTTATTACGAATAAAGCTGCTATGGGCATTCAAGTCCTAATCTTTGTGTGGACGTGTGCTTTCATTTCTTTTGGATAAATATTTAGAAGTGGAAATACCTGATCATTTGGTAAGTAAATGTTTAACTTCATAAGAAACTGCTAAGCTAATTTACAAAGATGGCTTGTACCATTTGTATTCTCACTAGCTACCTGTGAGCGTTTGGGTTACGGCACATCTTCACCAATGCTCGGTAGAGGCCAACTTTTGAATTGAAACAATTCTGGCGGATGTGTAGTAGGATCTTATTTTAGTTTTAATCTGCGGTTCCTTATGTTAATGATGTTGAGCATCTTATCATTTTTTTTTAAAGATTTTATTTATTTCACACACAGAGAGAAATTACAAGTAGGCAGGGAGGCAGACAGAGAGAGAGGAGAAAGGAGGCTCCCTGCTGAGCAGAGAGCCTGACTCAGGACTTGTCCCCAGGACCCTGGGATCATGACCTGAGCCGAAGGCAGAGGTTTTAACCCACTGAGCCACCCAGGTACCCATCTTTTCATATTCTTAGCTATCATTCATATATCTTTTGTGAGATGCAATGAGGTATCTGTTTAAATCTTTTTTCCCATTTTTAAAATCAAGCTGTTTGTCTAAAAGAGTTTTAAGAGTTCTTCACATAGTCCAGTTACAAGTCTGTTATCAGATGTGTATGCATTCACATTCACATACCTATTTGCAAAATTTATGTTGTGAGAATTTTCTCAGTCTGTGGTTTCCTTCATGGTGTTCTTTTGTTTTGTTTTGTTTGTTTGTTTTTGAGAGGGAGAGACAGAGAGAGAATCTTAAGCAGGCTCCATGCCCCGCTTGGAGCCAGATGTAGGGCTTGATCATGCAACCCTGAGATCGTGACCTGAGCCGAAATCAAGAGTTGGATGCTTAACTGACTGAGCCATGGTGTCTTTTGAAGAGCAAATTAATTTTGAAATAGTTTATCTTTTTTATGGGTTGTACCTTTTGTCTTTTATCTAATTAATCACCTAACTCAAGATCCCAGGGGCACCTGGTTAGCTCAGTCTGTGGAACATCTGACTCTTGATCTCAGGGTTGTGGGCTTGAGCCCCATGTTAGATGTAGGGATAACTTAAAAATAAAATCTTAAAAAAATTAAAAGATCTCAATGTTTTTTCCTTTGCTTTCTTCTAGAAATTTAGTAAGTTTAGACCTATGGTTCATTTCTAACTAATTATTGAATATGGTTTGCAGTAATAGTCACGGTATGTATTTTTTTGTTTTGCATATAGATTGTTCTGGCACTGTTTGAGACTATCCTTTTCTCATTGAAATAATATTTTTTTCAAAAATCATTTGCTCATATGTGTATGTCTATTTCTGAATTCTCTAGGCTGTTCTAGTGGTCTGTATGTTTTTATATGCTAGCTCTTTACTTTTTATAACTTTACCGTAATTTTATAATTTTCTTGAAATCACATGGTGTAAATCTTCCAACTTTGTTCTTTTTCCAAAGTATTTTGGCTAATCTAGGACTTTTGCATTTCCATATAAATTTAGATCCAGTTTGTTAATTTCTACAACAAAACACTGCTAGGATTTTGACTGAGATTGTATTGAACCCACACAACAATTTAGAGAGAACTGACATGTTAATGATAGTGAATCTTTTGATCCATGAATGTGGTATATCTCTATTTATTTAGGTCTTTAATTCTTCTCAACAATATTTTGTTATTTTTACTGTACAAGTTTTGCACATATTTTGTTAAATTTACCCATAAATTTTTTTAAAGATTTTATTTATTTATGACAGAGAGCGATAGCAAGAGAGGGAATACAAGCATGTGGGAGCTGGAGAGGGAGGAGCAGGCTCCCCACTGAGCAGGGACCCCGATGAGGGGCTTGATCCCAGGACCCTGGGATCATGACCTGAGCCGAAGGCAGATGCTTCACAACTGAGCCACCCAGGTGCCCCTATCCATGAGTATTTTCTATTCTTATGCTATTTATTGTTTTCTAATTTTTATTTTTTAAACATTTAATTCATTTATTTGAGAGCAAGAGAAAGAGAGCACAAGAGGGGTGCAGGCAGAGGGAGAAGCAGACTCCCCACTGAGCAGGGAGCTGAATGCTGGGCCCAATGCCAGGACTCCAGGATCATGACCAAAGCCAAGGCAGATGCTTAACCAACTAGCACCCCGGTGGCCCTAAATATTGTGTTTTTGTTTAAATTTTGCAATTTATCATTGCTTATAAAATAGAAATACAATAGAATCTTTGTATATAGATTTTTTATTCTGTAACTTGCTAAACTCACTTACTACTTCTAGTAACTTTTTGATATATTCCTTTGGATTTTCTACATACATAATCATGTTACCTTACTTCTTTCTTTCCTCTCTGTATGGCTTTTGCTTCTTTTTTCTTTTTTCTTTTTTTTTTTTCTTATTTTTTTAAAAGACTTTATTTATTTGAGAGGGAAAGAGATCACAAGTAGGCAGAGAGTCAGGCAGAGAGAGGGGGAAGCAGGCTCCCCGCCGAGCAGAGAGCCTGATGTGGGGCCCGATCCCAGGACCCTGAGATCATGACCTGAGCCGAAGGCAGAGGCTTAACCCACAGAGCCACCCAGGTTCCCCTTTTTATTTTCTTATTGCACTGGATAGGATTTCCTATACTGTTGAATGGAAGTGGTGACAGTGGACATCTCAAAAATGACATCTTTTAAAGAGAGAGGATGACACCTTTAAACATTTTTTCCTGTCCCAGATAGAAATAATCACTGGCTGTATAGAGGTATAAGCAAAATATGATGGGATGAATGGGGGTTGGCAGAAAATGGGGCAGTTGAATTCTAGCCATTGGAGACTGTTTATAAAAGGCAAAATTTTTAAGCAAGTTCTTTGGCTTTTCTTGATCTGACCCAGGGAGGTGACAGTATCTGTGGTCTGTTCCCCCTACCCTACCCTTGCTATCCGTGTTCCCCTTCCTGATGCTTCCAGCAACAGAGCTACCATGACTCTCCATCCATTGGTTCCAGGATGCTGTCCTCTACTGATGCGATGGCATGCTCACGGACCTGCTCCCGCATCCTGGGGCTGAGCCTTGGGACTACTGCCCTGTTTGCTGCTGGAGCCAACTTGGTGCTCCTCTTCCCTAACTGGGATGTGACCTACCTGTTGAGGGGCCTTATTGGCAGGCATGCCATGCTGGGCTCTGGGCTCTGGGGAGGAGGACTCATGGTAAGTGTTTGGAGTTTCTTGGGTGTGAACTCCCCAAATACCCCTCAGGGTGGAGCAGGGAGGTGGCAGGACAGCAGTGTTTTGTTTTGTTTGCAAGAATGCTTGGTCTTGAGGGTGACTGCCTGGCTCAGTGGGTAGAGCATGAGACTTGATCTCAGGGTTGTGAGTTCGAACCCCACATTGGGCATAGAGATTACTTAAAGATAAAATCTTTTTTAAAAAGATTTTATTTATTTATTTGACAGAGAGATAGAGAGAGAGCACAAGTAAGCAGAGCAGCAGGCAGAGGGAGAGGGAAAAGCAGATTCCCCGCTGAACAGGGAGCCTGATGTGGGACTCAATCCCAGGACCCTGGAATCATGACCTGAGCCCAAGGCAGCTGCTTAACCAACTGAGCCTCCCAGGTGCCCCTTAAAGATAAAATCTTAAAAAAAAATGCTTGATCTAGCAAGCTTGTCTTGGGTCTATAGGAATTCCAAGGAATAGGAGACTCTAGGAAGACTTGTTGCTGAACTTCGGCTTGGAACTAGAAGGCTGGGTATAAATATTGCCATCCAGAGAGTCAGATCAGGCTAGTAATCCAACGGGGTCCTGACAGTCAAAGCCAAACCTTCTGGGAAAGATAGGATTATCAAAACCATGTGAGGTGCCCAAATGATCTATTTCAATAGTAATCAACCCAATCTCTTCTTACCATTCTTCTCTCCTCTCCTAGGTACTCACTGCAGCTACCCTCATTTGCTTCATGGGCTGGAGATATGGCTGCTTCAGTAAGAGTGGGCCCTGCCGAAGTGTAAGCACCAGGTTCTACTCTTCTAATACCTAGAATGTTCCCACACTCCATTACTCTACAGGCAGAGTGGTAAAGAGGCAACTTCAGTTTTGGGGCTTGAAGTCAGATCCTGACTGTACTCATTAGTAAACCTAAGCCATTGGGGAAGTTCCATAATCTTTCTGAGCCTTGGATCTTCATCTATAAAATGGGCGTGAACAGTCTCAAGTTAAGGGAGTGTTTATTGAGCCAAACATGTCTATTAACTATGATTTTTAGCCTATTGAACAAAATGGACATGAATTAAGTGTGCTATAGTCATGTGTCACTGATAAAAAATTTCCTGGGGCACGTGGCTGGCTCAGTGGGTAGAGCATGCACTCAATCTCTGGGTCATGAGTTCAAGCCCCATGTTGGGTGTGGAATCTACTAGAAAGAAAGAAAGAAAGGTAGAGAGAAAGAAGAAAGAAAAAAAGGAGATAGAAAAGAAAGGAAGGGAGGAAGGAAATTTCCTGGTTATTTTGTTTAATTTTTCTTAGAATTAGAAGGTTTCCAGAAATCATCTAATGACTAGATTCTAGCCTAAGCCCTCCATTTTACAGAAAATTAAACTTGGGCCCAGAGTAAATTTGCACTTATCAGTTACAGCAACATTTATATATACTTGAAAAATTTCAGTACATGTAAGTACAAGATATATTACTTATTCAGTCTCAGACATATGAATTTGTGGCCTCCTTACAGTAACTCTACTGCCTACTTTGGTATCTGCATCCCACATATTGGGAACCCCACTGATTCAGAATTATATATTAAAGAATTAAATATAAATACCCATGCACTTCATTCAGTATTTCTCTCAGTCTCCTCTGGTTTTCCCCTCGGTGAGTGAGTGGTTCTCAGACTTGTGTGTGTATCAGAATCCTCGTAGGGTTTGTTAAAACAGATTGTTCGCCCCACCCCCCAGATTTATTTATTTTCCTTACTTCCTTCTTTCCTCCCTTCTTCCCTCCCTTCCTTCCCTCTCTCTCTCTCTCTCTTTCTTTTTAAAGCTATATTGTCTGAGGAAAGGAGAAGGTTGGAGAGACAGGAGAGTTGACTTTATTTATTTATTTATTTATTTATTTATTTATTTTTAGAGGTGGGGAAGTAGCAGAGAGACAGGGAGAGAGAGACTCCCAAGCAGGTTCCACACCCAGTGCAGAGCCTCATGCAGGGCTGGATCTCACACCCCTGAGATCATGACCTGAGCTGAAAGTGAGAGTTGGATGCTTAACTGATTGAGCCACCCAGGTGCTCCAGCCCCAACTTTTCTGGTTCAGAAGGTGGGGTGAAGCGGGAAGTTGTGCATTTCTAGCAAGTTTTCAGGTGATGTGATGCTGCCGGGGCCAGGACCCCATCTTGAGCATTTCGTTGGGCCTCCCAAGCTCTAAACCAGCTTGACATTGTGGGAAGAGGCCTCCATGATTCTATATAAAAACTGTGCATATGTTTTATTTAAATTTTTAAAATATGCATTCTTTTGAAGGGAGAAAACCACCTAGTAGTCTGAGAAAGAAGCCAATTAAAAACCAAGCTAGACTCCTGCCTAGGAAGTGAACTCATTGTTATCTTCGGGGAAGGAAGTGCACAGACTAAGTGCAATGAGAGAACAGGGGTCTGTTCCAAGATGACTGAAGTTCCTCTCTGTCCCTGTCCCCCTCCCTCCCTTCTTTCCTACCTCCTTCCCTCTTTCTTCCCTTGTTTCCTTCATGCTTGATTTAAGAAAGAGTGGAATCGGCATTAGTTGCTGGGAACTGTTAAGAATACAGCTTTCCCTTAAAAGAGTCAGAAATAGGCATGCAGGGCACCTGGGTGGCTCAGTCAGTTAAGTGTCTGCCTTCTGCTCAGGTCATGATCCCAGGCTCCTGGGATCGACTCCCGAATCCTGCTTCTTGCTCAGCGGGGAGCCTACTTCTCCTTCTCCCTGTGCTTGGTGCTCCCCCTGCTTGTGGTCTCTCAAATAAATAAAATCTTTAAAAAAATTTTTTTTTAAATAGTAAAAAAGAAATGGGCATGCAATGACCATCCAACCCTTCTACCCAGAGGCTATGTAAAACTTTTTTTTTTTTTAAGTTTATTTATTTGAGGGACGCCTGGGTGGCTCAGTTGGTTAAGCAGCTGCCTTTGGCTCAGGTCATGATCCCAGCGTCCTGAGATCGAGTCCCACATTGGGCTCCTTGCTTGGCAGGGAGCCTGCTTCTCCCTCTGCCTCTGCTGCCACTCGGCCTGCCTGTGCTCTCTCTCTCTGGCAAATAAATAAATGAAATCTAAAGTTTATTTATTTGAGAGAGAGAGAGAGAAAGAGAGCATGCATTCAAGCATGCGTTGGTGGGGGTGGGGGTGGAGGGAGAGGGAGAATATTAAGCAGACTCCATGCCCAGTGGGGAGCCTGACATAGGGCTTCATCTCACGACACTGAGACCATGACCTGAGCTGATATCAAGAGTCAGTAACCAACTGAGCCACCCAGTGGCCCCCTGAGTGTAAAAGTTTTTGAAGCCAACCTGTTGAGAAGCTCTGGAGGGAGCTTTCCTGGGTCAGGGAGACTCAGGTCCAAGTGCCACTGCTTCCCGCCTTCTCAGTGCTTTCTTTCCGACCACTTCCTGGCTCTGCCCACCAACCCCTCATCAGCCGCCCTGCCTTGGGTGTCCTTTAAAGGAGCTGCCAGGGGAAGCATTATCCCCACATGATATGACAGGGAAAGCCTGAGTGCTGGAGAAGTTAAGCTTGTCCAGATCACCCCATCACCTGGTCATGACCCCATCTCACCTCATGGCTTCTTCCTTCCATCTACAGATGTTCACTGCTCTGCTGTCCAGTAGCCTGGCTATTCTTGGAGCCTTGATTTGCTTTATCACTTCTGGAGTAGCCCTGAAAGATGGTCCATTTTGCATGTTTGATGCCTCATCCTTCAATCAGACACAAGATTGGAAATATGGTTACCCATTCCAAGACTTGCATAACAGGTAAATGGACGGAGACTTGGGTTTTCAATCTTTTCAGAGAGACACACAGATGGACTACAAACTCCTCGTGGCCACACGTTCTAGCATCTCCCATCTCTGATGCTCAGCATTTTGCCAACACAGCAAATGTCACCCTCAGAAATCTAGGCCTAGGACCGTGGCTGGGGGGAAGAGGGGCCAGGTTTCTATTGAGTTGCTTACTTGGTTTTCTTACTTACTCCTCAATCCCTGGTCTCCTTTTTTTTTTTGGATAGGAATTATTTGTATGACGACTCCCTCTGGAACTCTGTGTGCCTGGAGCCTTCTAAAGCTGTCATTTGGCACGTGTCCTTCTTCTCCATGCTTCTATGCATCAGTCTCCTCCAGATTCTCTTGGTGGTCATTCATTTTTTCAACAGCTTCCTGGGTCTTTTCTGCAGCTTCTGTGACAAGTGATAGGGAATGTCCTTTCACGCATGAGAGTTTTCCTCAGAACAGACCTTGAATCTCTTCTGCAGAATGGATTATAAACAAACTTTCCTTTTAGGTATTCCTGTAGTGATAATAACGGCAATGATTCCTTGCACGCATGTTGAGTGATATATGCATTTTAAATCACAATGTAAACTGCAAGATGATATATCAGTAGAAGGAACAATTAGGTCATTATTATTGTGCAGGAACTTACAGTTCCTCAAATGTCCTCCAGCTGTGGTCTCATTTCAGCCTCTTAACAACTCCATAAAACTGGCCACATGTCACAGATATGGAAGTTGAGGCTCCTAGAGCATAAGGGACTTGTTGCCTAAAAGCACTCACCTGGGTTCAGGTAAAGTCAGCACCTGAGCTCTTATCTTTTAAATTCAAGTTCACCAGTTGTTATGGATGGAATTGTGTGTCCTCAAATCTCATAGGTGGAAGCCCTAAGCCCAATGTGACTATATTTGTAGATAGAAACTTTAAGAAGGTAATTAAGGTTAAATGAGGTCATAAAGGTAGGACCCTAATCCTTACAAGAAGAGGATGAGATACCAGATCTCTCTTTACACACAAGCACAGTAGAAGAGGCCCTGTGAGGACACAGCCAGAAGGTGGCCACCTGCAAGCCAAGGAGAGGGCCCTCAATAGAAGCCAGCCTTATTGGTATCTTCATGTTGGGACTTCAAGTCTGATTTATTAGAAAAATAAATGCATGTGGTCTCAGCCCATTCAGTCAGTACTATTTTGTTGTGGCAGCCTGAGCTGATTAATTCACCAATATTTTCTTCTTCAGTGTTCGGTGCGGTTCAGTAAGTGCTATACACTGGAGTTTCCACTGTATACTGTTGTGTGCACAGTGGATCTAAAGATGACTGAGGCATAGTCCTTGACCTAGGACCCTCCTTGTCCTTGAAGAGCTCACGATCAAGGTAGAGGAACAAACACATCTATAAACAATTTAAATATCCTATGGTAAGGGCCATGTTAGAGGTCAACAGGACACAGAGAGAGTTCAAAGGAATAGCGAAACTCCAAGAAGAGGGTCTGTGAGAGATCAAGGAAGGCACCCCTTGCGTCTGAGCTTGTTCTTGAAACCACCCAGTGAAGAGGGGAGGAAGGGATTCCCCAGCAGAGGAAACAGCACACTCCGAGGCATGGAGGGGACACATGGGATGGAGAACTATGGTGCCACAGTGGTTTCTCATATGGGATGTGGAGAACAGAGCTCCTCTCTTTGTTGCACTTCAAGATCTTGGTCAGGAGCTAGTGCTGAATGGTGAGTAGAGTCAGGAGTGGGGTGAAGGAGATCCACGCAGGAAATTCTGATGGGCAGGGAACAGGATGAAGCAGGAAGCCTGGGAAGAAATACGAAGATGGGCACTGGCAAGAGAAGAGGTAGTGGACAGGTCCAGGGAATGAGTTAGGGAACCATGGGCTCTGGAGCCACAGAGGAGACAAAGCCAGGAAGGGAAAGCGTGGGCCCAGTTGCTGTTATATCCCCTCCATGGTCCCCAGGTCAGGGAGGAGCTGAAGCACCAGATGCATCCAGAATACAGGACTTCCTCTGTTACCGGGGGAGGAGGGAAGGGGAAAGGAGAGGAAACCAGGGATGGGGAGGGGAATGCAGAGGGAGTTCTGTGTTCATTCCACTATGGGCTCCATAGTCCTCCACACCTGCCTGTTCACTGCCCTTTGTGGGATTCCAGAGGACACCTGCATCCCCTTCCTTCTGCCTTCATCCCAGGACTACCTCACACTTAGAATGGGCTTTCACCCTGGTTTTTTTTCTCTTCAAATGAAAGCCACATTGAGGTCTTGGCTTGGTTTCCAACCAGGTTTAGGGCAGAGGGGCTGTTCATCAGGACACTGTTAACATTTTGCTAAGAAAAAAAGTCGTCTGGGGCGCCTGGGTGGCTCAGTGGGTTAAAGCCTCTGCCTTCGGCTCAGGTCATGATCCCAGGGTCCTGGGATCGAGCCCCATATCGGGCTCTCTGCTCGGCAGGGAGCCTGCTTCCTCCTCTCTCTCTCTCTCTGCCTGCCTCTCTGCCTACTTGTGATCTCTATCTGTCAAATAAATAAATAAAATCTTTAAAAAAAAAAAAAAGAAAGAAAAAAAAAAAGAAAAAAAGTCGTCTGTCCGTTACCTTGTATATGCCTTCTGGAATATCATCATGGAATGAGGAGGACGTTGCCTTGCTTATGTTCCTGCTCGAGAAAAATATGCCCTTGGGGCGCCTGGGTGGCTCAGTTGGTTTAGCAACTGCTTTTGGCTCAGGTTATGATCCTGAAGTCCCAGGATCCAGTCCCAGGATGAGTCCCACTCCCTCTGACTGTCCCCCCATCATGCTCTCTCTTGTTCTCTTTCTCTCAAATAAATACAATCTTTAAAAAAAGAAAAGTAAGCCCATCTTGGGAATAGGTTGTCCTTCAGCTTTCTGTTATAGCAGCTGGCACTCTATTTAGCCCATTGCTCCCCAGCCAAATCTGTCCACTCTTTAGGGCAAGGCCTGGGTTTCATTCACTTTTGTATCGCAAGCCCCTAGCACGGATGGAATAATAAAATTTTTATTGAATTAAATTACACATCTGATCTTCTGTGGTTTTAGTTGGACTGTAGTAGATAGAACGAGAGAAATCTAACTGAAGAAACCATGAAAGGGGAGAGAAAATCTGCATATTAGGAGTATGATTTCTTAAGGCTGGTGAAACAGCAAGGAGTAAAACGCTATCTTCCCCTAGGAGACATTGGATTTCTGTGCCAGGCTACTTTGTGGATACATGATCGCAGCCAAAGATGGGGCTGGTGCTGCTGAACCAAGGGGAAGGTAAAGAGGGCATGGTTGAAGCAGCACTGAGCTGATGTGGGTGCACACTTAGCCCATGGCCCTTGCAAAGACCCCATTCTGCTGGCCAGAGCCAGGAGGAGGGTTCAGCAACCCAGCCAGATCATGAAAGGTTTTATTTGCAGTAAATGCTGGGGAGATGGTCATAAGGAACCATTGAAAGATTTCAAGCAGAGCAGTCACAAAGGAAAGCCATTCTGGGGACACTGTGAAGGGCAGACTGGGAAGGTGTAGTTCCTATGAGTTTATGGGACTCAGGAAGACCAATCTAGGCTATACCACCAAGAAAACATGTTGTAAGCCAAAACCTGGAATAGTAAAATTAGTGAGTCTTTACTGGAATTTGCACAGGTATATGTTTATAGAAACTACTCCCTTTCCATCTTAGAGGAGGAAGTTTTGCAATTTGTTAACCCAACCAATAGGAAACCTGGATAGATGTTGGGGGAATTTCTTTTCTTTTCTTTTCTTTTTTTTTTTTTTAAGATCCCGTTTTTTTTTGTTTGTTTGTTTTTGTTTTTTTTTTAATTTGAGAGAGTCTGTGTGTGAGTGAGCAAGATAGGGAGAGAGAGTGCAGGAGAGGGGAGTCGGGGGAAGAGGAAGAAGGAGAAGCAGACTTCCTGCTGAGCAGGGAGCCTGGTATGGGACTCAATCCCATAACCCTGGAATCATAACCTGAACTGAAGGCACAGGCTTAACTGACTCGCCACCCAGCCACTCCTTTTCCTAGTTTTTGAAGCTGACAGAGGCCAGGATAATATGGTTTTCTAAAACAGGACCAGAAACTGGTGCTCATAAGTGAGGAATACACGTGAAATCTGCACATATCTGAATTTTGCTCTGGATCCAAGGGTGTAGGCTGGGGGAACTGTGCTTGGCAGTTCTGGACTAGGGCAGGGCACTGCTAATTTTTTAATGTAAAGGGTCGGATAAAAGTTTAGACCTTAAGGGCCATATGGTTTCTGTTGCAGTTGCTGAAGTCTACCAGTAACAGCGCAAAAGTGGCCACACAACAGGCAAGTGAGCATAGCTTTGCTACAAAAGAACTTCGGGGATACTGAAATTTTAATTTCACGTGTAGGTTTCACGTGTCATGAAATAATCTTTTGATTTTTTTCGATCGTTTAAAAATCTGGGTGCCTCAGTTGTTGGGCATCTGCCTTCGGCTAAGGACATGATCCTAGGGTCCTGGGATCAATCCCGCGTGGAGCTCCCTGCTCAGCCGGAAGCCTGCTTCTCCCTCTCCTGCTCCCCCTGTTTGTGTTCCCTCTCTCACTATCTCTGTCAAAGAAATAAATAAAATCTTTTAAAAATATATACATATCCGTTCAAAAGTCATGCCTAAAGAAATGAAGGCAGCACTTGCCCACAGGCTACAGCGCGAAGACCCTTTATTTAGAGTCAGGGCCCTTCCGCTTAATAGCCTCATATGCTTGGACCTCTAGGGCCTGAGATTCCGCGTCAATGTCTTGAAATTGCTGCGTGGTTAATAAAACCTGACGCGCATTAAAGCGCTTTCAACACCCCCCAGGGCTGCATCAGCTTCAAGTGCTCTCCCTAGCCTTAGGTACTCTCCACCCAGCAGCCAGTGCGCAGGCGTGGGGGAGGGCCGCTCTGCTGGAAGCGCGCAGGCGCGCCACATCAGGGCTCATGGAGGCCCCGTTGCCCTGGCGACGGTTTCCCAGCTCCCTACCGCAATCCGCCAGGCCTTCATCGCGATACACTAAGCCAAGAAGCCCTAGCCATGACTTCGTCCACCCCTGCGTCCTTCACTACCGGCACAGCCGACGGGTTGCCTGAGACTGAGAAGAACGCAGGGGAGTCCGAGAATACCTATATTCTGCGGCCCATTTTCCAGCAAAGGCGGGTAACAGACGAGCTGTGGTGGGGGTGTCCTACGAGCTGCTGGGTCAGGTCGACAGAGGCCGCCCGGCAACCTGCGCGTGGGGAAAGCGCAAGGCGATCCGCGGGGTGGGCGGGGCGGGACTGGAGAAGGAGGAGCGGGGCTGGCGGTGGGGCGGGCTGGGGACGCAGGGCGGGACTGGAGAAGGAGGTGGCTGGGGAGGGGTATGGAGGTGGCGGAGGAGGGACTGGGGAGGGGCGGAGTGGGTTTGGTACAGAGGAAGGTATTGGGATCGAGTCCAGCAGGGAGGGAAGGAGTGTGGGGTGGTCTGGAAACCTAGGGGCGAGCCGGGGAGGAGGCGGGCGGGGACTAGAGAGGAAGGGGCAAGCCGAGAGGGTGGGATGCTATCTTTCTTGAGTCTCCAGCTGCTCTGGCCAGCTGTGGACCAGACCTACAGTTGCAGCGTTAGGGCGTCGGGAGCACCTAAGGCTAGCGTAGTGGGAATGGTTGGCTCTAGGAGACCCGGGATGTGGGCAGAGGAAAGGAGGGGTGGAATAGATGAACAGGAAAGAAACGCCTTGCATCGAATTCCATTCAGCCATTTTCCAGGGTTAAGGTGTGCTATGGGTGCCAGAATACGCTTACTCCTCTGCAGGGAGTGGGACCTGTATGCATTCAAAGTCTTACCTAGGTATCATCCGGCTGTTCTTGGCCCACCACCGAGATGCCTTCCCAAAATTACACAGTCTAGTGAAGAGGACAGTCCGCTAGGGTCCATCACTCACTTCATTTTCACAAGATTAAAAAAAAATAAATAATTAAAAAAAAAAAAGCCCCTCTGTTGCTTGAAACCAGATTGCTGAATCAAATGCTTGGCAAATACTGGAAGCCAGGAACTTTGGTTATAATGTGATACATTTCATGCAGTTTTCTGGTGGGTGGAGTGGACATCAAAAAAGGTATGTTCAGTTATCTTGGTAAAAGTTTCTAAATGCACAGAACACCATTTGCCTGCATTTCTGTTGCAAAACAGAACAAAAGCAGAAAAAATTAACATATATTATGTAGGAATAATCCTCTAAGATTATTTGTTATTTGTTTGAAGAAAACTTTTGACATTTCACTGAAAATGAGAAAGGCTTAAGGCGAAGAGCCAAATATAGTATATTTGTAATAGGAAAACCCTTTTTAGAACAGATCAAATCCTGGAAATCTGTGGATGATTCTGAAGTTCATCTGTGAGAATAACCAGGCAAGAGAGCAAAGAAAATACTGTTAAAAAGTGATAAGGGTTGCTTCAGAATTTAAATTAAAAAACGGAACCCCACCCCAAAAAGTAGTAAGGGACCACTAGGGCTACCAAATATTACACTGCATTATAAGCTCAAAACCTAAAACATTCTGGTCACTTGGCACATAATAGACAAATCAGCTAATAGAATATATAGCCCAGAAAATAAAACTAGTGTTTTAATATATGATAAATACAACTAAAATGTGAACATATTTCAGGGTGGTGAAATTAGGGGAGGTTTTTTCCTCTTGTCTTCATTTATTCAATAATCCATTCCTTCCAAAAGTATTTATTGTCTACTATGTGCTGGGTGCTCTTCTAAGAAGTGGAAAGATGACAGTGAACAAAGCAGTGAGAAATCCCTGCCCTCATAGAGCTTATGTTCTAGCTGGGTAGAAGGACAACAAACAAGATAAATACATAAGTGAACTATATAGTATATAGTGTGTATATATAACTATATAGTACACACACACACACACACACACACACGTATATATACATGTAGTATATATCTCCCATAGAGATAGTAATGACTACCAGGAGGTGAGATATAAAGTGATGTGGTAGGAGAGCAATTTGAAGTTTTAGAGAAAGTGGCTAAGGAAAGTGACTTTTGAATAAAGACTTGAAAGAAGTGAGGAAGGTAGCAATGCCTATAGAATGAGATTTGAACTTCAGGCAGAGGTTAACAGCAAGTGCAAAAGCACTAAGGTGGTCATGCCTGGTGTGGTCAAAGAACATAGGGAAGACCAGTGTGACCAGAGTGGAGAGAACTAGCAGGAATGTAGTAGAACATGAAATCAGAGAGTTTGATAGGGTAGGTCATATGGGGCTGCGCAAGTGACAGTTAGGATGTTGCTTTTACTCTGAGTGAGGTGAGAAGCATTTGGGATTAAAAAAAAAAAAGATTTTATTTATTTGAGAGAGACAACAAGCATGAGCAGGGAGAAGGGGCAGAGGGAGAGGGAGAAGCAGATTCCCTGCTGAGCAGGGGGCTTGATCTCAGGACCCTGAGATCATGACCTGAGCTGAAGGCAGATGCTTAACTGACTGAGCCACCCAAGCACCCCAAACATTTGGGATATTTTGAACAGAGAAGTGCCATGATCCAACATATATTTTAACAGGACCAGTCTAGTTGCTATGTTCCACAGGATATGGGGGCAAAGGCAGAGACAGAGACTTGTGTGAAGCTGGTGTAACCCAGGCAGGAGGTAGCTTGAAGCAAACTGGTGGCAGTGCAGTGGAGAGAGTGATTGAATTTTAGATTATTCTGAAGGTAAAACTGATAAAATTTGCTTATGAACCAGGATGTGGTCTGTGAGAGAGAAAGTCAAGAAGCCTGACTTCAAGGTTCTTGGCCTGAGCAACTGGAAGGATGGAGGTTCCATTGACCAATACAGTTTTGAAGAGAGAAGATGGTCAGAAGCTCACTGTTGGATGTATGAACTTTTGAGTTGTCCATTAGACATCCAGATGGAATATGTGTTGGAATATGTGGTCTGAAGTTCAGGGGAAAGGTCCAGTCTATAGATATACATCAAGAATATGACTTGTTTTTTTAAGTTGTGTATGTCACTTTGATAATAAAAAGTATGAAAAAGAGGAATTAAATTGTTGGTAGTGACAAAAAGCTGTGGGCAGTTGATTTATGAAAGTAAATTGAAATTTTGGAGTTACCAATTAGATGTTTCACACTGTTTCATTTAGGTTCAGACCTTCTGTGGTTAAAGAATGTATCCATGCTGTTCTTAAGGAGGAGCTAGCAAATGCTGAGTACTCTCCAGAAGAAATGCCTCAGCTCACAAAACGTTTATCAGAAACCATTAAAGACAAATTAAAAGGTAATTGTGGTGATACTTGGAAATAGACATTCAATTTTACTTGTTTGTCTCCTTCCCTATCTTTAAACAATGGGCATAAGCTGTGGATTCTTTTAAACACAATTTTTCTTCAATGTCTAGTCCTCTCAATTATTTGGTAACTTTTACTCTTGTAGGTCTTTCCAGATAGTGGGGAAGTTAAAGATATGAAATAAAACATTGTATGCATGCAGTATCTGAGACATTCCAGTATGATAAAGATCAGGATTTACAAGGACTCCTTTCTCCCATCATTCTTGGTTGTTTTTCTCACCAACATATCAGTTCCTTAGCCTGTCTGTCATTCATACCCTCACTGTCTGACCTCAGCCCATCCCTCCAGCTGAGTCCTTAACTAGTCACCAGACTCAGCTCTCCACTCTTGCTAAGCTCTGTATATCTATAGAACATACCTCATGCTTTTTCTCCCCATTCTCTTTGTCTTTTTCTCTCTCTTTTTAAAAGATTTATTTATTTATTTGAGAGACAGAGAGAGAGTGTGTGTGTGTGCATGTGCTGGGGAGGAGGTCAGGGCAGAGGGAGAGGGAGAGAGTCTTTAAGCTGACTCAGTGCTGAGTGTGGAGCTGGAGGTGGGGCTCGATCTCATAATCATGAAATCATGACCTGAACTGAAACTAAGAGTCAGATGATTAACTGACTATACCACCCGGGTGCCCCTCTTTTGTTCATAATATTATACCATCTGAAAAGTCCTTTCTCTCTACCTTTTTAAAACTAGAACATTTTTTTGGAGGGAAGAAAATGTCTATGTCACAGTAATACATTTTCATTGTACTAACCTAGACCATTTAGAAAAGTACACATTTAAATTTTTAAAATTATATAAAATTCCATTACCCAAAGGTAGTTACTTTTAATATTTTGATGTACTTTTTTCTTTTTCTTAATTTGCTTTAATTTTTAGAAACTAAAAAATATGAGTACAAAGAAGAAAATAACAATTCTATGTATTTCACCCAGAATTAACCACTGTTTGTATATCAACATTTTTATTTTCACTTTTTAAAAAAGATTTTTTATTTATTTGAGAGAAAGAGGATGAGTGGGGAGAGGCGCAGAGGAAGAGGGAAAAGCAGACTCCCCACTGAGCAGGGAGCCTGACTCGGGGCTTGATCTTAGGACCCTGAGATCATGACCTGAGCGGAAGGCAGACACTTAACTAACTGAACCACCAGGTGGCCCTATTTTTACTTTTTAATGACAATTTGTTGTTACTGTGAAAAAGATACATGTCCATTATAAATAAATTTAAACAGTGTAGAAAAATAAATAAAATTAGAAAATCATCCAAAATGCCACCACCACATTAAATATCAGTATTTAAATATCAATATTTAATGATAACCATTAATATTAGGTGAACATCATATCAGACATCTTTTCCGTGTTTATATACAGATAAATACCTTAATAATAATGGGATACTTTGGACCTATTTTGCATAGTGATATAGCATTCATTCTGTATATATACACATATATGTGTATTTTTTTTGCATTCATTTTATATTTAAATGGAATGATTGCTCACTATTTAGTCCTTTTATCATGCCATTTTGGTTCAGTTTCTTATCTGATGAGATTTTGTTGTAAGTTTTTTCAGAAAGGGCTGAGAAATGCTACATTCTCTGTGTTCTTTAATGTTTGAGGATGTCTGCCTTTTGCCTTTAAATCAGAATATATTTTGGATGTATATAGTATTTTGAGGTAATAACTTATTTTCTTGAGAATCTTGTAGATTTTGTTTCATTGTCTTCTGGCATTGAATGTTACTGTAGAGAAATCTAAGGCCCCTTGATGTCCTCTGCCTAAAGAATCCCATCCTTAACCTTGATGCTCAATAGCTTGTTTAGAATATTGCTTGATAGTGAGCATTTTATATCTGTGGATTTTTTTTCATATCAGGAAAATTTTCTTGTATCTCTGAAAACATTTTCTGTTCCATTCGTTAGGTCACAGGACAACAAATACTGATATGTTGAATCATCTCTATCTTCCATATCTATTAGCTTTTCTGTGCCATACTTTCTTCCCTTTCCAGTAATGTTTACTTGTAATTATCTTAAGCCAGTAATTCAATTTTCATTTGTGTCTGTTCTGTCCCTTACCATTTTTTAAATTTATTAGGTCTGTACTGATACTGTATGAGTATTCAGTTTGTCTTATGGCTGCAATCTTCATTTTCCTCTTTCTGTTGTTTATAATCTGATTGAGTTCTTATTTTGTTGAATTTATGAGCTTATGTTGTTCTATACTGTGAATCAGTTGTGAAGAATTTCTCTTTGTTCCTTGGTTTATATTATTTCCTAGGTTGAGGGGTTTTTTTGTTTTGTTTTTATTTTTGTCTTTTAAACAGTATTTTGTTTGTTTCTTGTTATTCTTTTCTTTGTTTTTCTTGCTGCATTATTGCATATTGCTGGTCAGCTTCTCTCTGTTTTACTCTGATGTGTGATTTTCAGGTCTTTTCCTTTGCTCTTTTCATAATTGTCCCAACACAGTGTGGGTGATTGGTACTCATCCACCATATCTGAGATTATTTTATTTTTACAATGGAAGGGCTAGGTATTTAATATTCTAGCTCCTTGGGTATCAGAAAAGGAGGAAGAGAAATGGGTAGAGGAAGGAGGAAGCTCTGTGGAGCTGTGTGCACTGTTTTGGGCTCTGTCTCCTGAGATTTTGTTAAGTATCCTGAATTAAGGGTAGTGTCTCACCTGGAAGGGGAACTGTAGTCTTCATATTATTTGTCTAATTTACTATGTAGTCCTGGAGTCCTTACTTTGATCAAACAGAGTTGGCTATGTTTCAACTTTGTCCATTTCCTTTCCCTTTTAACCCCCTTCAATTGTTTTCACTGTTCCTTGGTTAGAAAAGGGGGAAGATAAAGATGCCCATTCAGTTTTCTTCTCTTCAGATTTGGTGTTAGTGAGAATTTTCAGGATTTTGCTGCTTTAACAGTATATTTTCTGGGGAAGCAGCAGAGTTGTGATGGGCTATACAATTATACTCCAGAATTGTATGTTGTTTTCTTTTCTACCTTACTGAACAGCTTATGGTTTTCTAAATGCTCCATACTCTATGCCTTTGCACATGCTGTTCCCTCTCCATAGAATGGAGACATTGTCTGGTAAATTCCTACTTTTCTTCTAAGACTCCTTTCATTTATCACATCCTCCAAGACGTCTCTTCTGGTCACCGCTTCCCCACTATCTAGACAAGGGAAGGAGCTTCCAGCTCTGTGTTCCTATGTATCTTACACATGCTCCTCTTGGAATTATTAATATATTGCTTTTTCATTTTATTCTTCATGTTTGCCTTCCCAACTACTCTATGTTCTTTAAGGCAAGAAGAGTCTCTTTTTTTTTCCTTAAGATTTTGTTTATTTGTCAGAAAGAGAGAGAGTGTGTGCATAAGCAGGGGGAGCAGCAGACAGAGGGAGAAGCAGGCTCCCTGCCGAGCAAGGAACCTGATGTGTGGCTTGATCCCAGGAGCCCAGGATTGTGACCTGAGCAGAGGCAGATGCTCAACCAACTGAGCCAGACAGGTGTCCCAAGAATGGTGTCTTATTTATCTCTGTGTTTTGTCGACTTAACATTACATGACTTAGAGTAGGAGAGAAATGAAGGAAGCTGAAATCTATTGAGAAACTAGTGTGTATCAGTACTGTTGTAGATGCTGTATTTATTACTTCTGAAAATTAGTAGAGGAAGAAAAAGGTAGAAATTAATATTCACTAAAATGGAGTTGGGAGGCCAGAAGAGGGAGCTCTAATACCGTTCCACGTCTTATCAGCCGGCCCGGAAGAGCCTATGCTTTTACTATCCCAGCAGGAGGAAGATTTTCTCCTTGCCCAGCAACAGCCTTGCCAATGAGAGACTGTCAAGGATTCCGGCAATGAAAAGCCACTACATTTCCAACTCCTGATTTACTTCAGTGGACTTTTTGTTTATAACAGTCCTCCCAACGTCCTCCTTTTCTCTTTAAAAGAACCAGCTTCTTTTTTGTTCTCTGTACTTGCCTGTGGTTTTACTATAGCTTTCCTATACTGAATTACAATTCTCTGCCCTTCTTGAATAAACCCATTTTTTGCTGGTAAAATAACTGACAGTCTTATTTTTAAGATCAATGTATTATATCTTATCTCATCTCACCTCGCAACATCCCCCAGGAGGTAGGTAATAATATTCCTATTGAACCGATGAGGAAGACTTACGCCAAAAAGGTGAACAGCTTGTCTGAGGTTACACACTTGGCAAGCTGACTGACTGACTTACCAAAGTAAGATTTGTCCTCACGTCTTTCTGACTCCCAAGCTTACCATCCTACTCAGCCAGTGCTTGTGAACTGAATACTTGTATTCCTTTCTAGGCAAATTTACCTTCATTAAATAACTTTACCACTTTTACTTATAGATAACTCTCTTATTTTTTTCTAGAAATGGGATTTGACCGATACAAAATGGTGGTACAAGTAGTGATTGGAGAACAAAGAGGTGAAGGAGTATTGTGAGTAGTTGGTTTTTCCTTCTTGTTTTTACTCTTAAATGTTTCTTCTTAGGTATTCATCCTGACAATTCAGTAAGATTGTATCTGTGTAAGAGTGAGAGGAAAGGACAGTATAACAAAATGCAGCTGTGAACCAAAAAGATCCTGGCACAGAACAGTGTGGTTGACAGTGTGGGTGAGCTCTGCAAGGTAACTCACTTCTCACTTTTCCTAATATCTGTAGGCCAGTAAGTCTTTCAGGTTTTATGTATATGTGCTCCTAAGTCCAGTATATGTATATGTTTCTTCCTCAGTTCCTTCTTTTTTTTTTTTCCTTAAATTCCTTCTTGCCTGGATTTTGTTCCTATCATTCCAAATTAATTTCTTTAAAATTGTCTGAGACCTCCTTATTAGCATATCTAGTAGTCCTTTCTTAGCTCTTGTTCTTGGCCTGGGCTTCTATTTCTTTTTTAAAATAATTTTTTAAAAAAGATTTTATTTACCCATTTCAGAGAGAGAGAGAGAGAGAGTGCTCGCAAGGATGAGTGGGAAGAGAGGCAGAGGGAGAAGCAGACTTTATATGGGGCTTGGTCCCAGAACCCTGGAATCATGACCTGAGTCAAGAGCAGGTGCTCAACCAACTGAGCCACTCAGGGGCCTCCTGGGCTTCTATTTCTTAATATTCATTCCAGTTTATTTTGGCCCTGATGTCACTTATCTAACTTATTTCTCTTCCCTTTCCTGGTTCCTCTTTCTCCCCTACATCACCAGCTCTGAGCTTTCTTTAAGGCTCAGTTCTTGTTCTTCTGCTCTTCCCACTGCTTTTTCAATTAGCTCATTCATTCTCATGACCTCAAATTGTCATTCATGTACTGGTGAGTTCAAAATGTGTATTTCCTGTCTTTCCCTATGCCTGAGTGTTAAGCTCCTGTTTTCCTTTGCAAACAGTACTGAGTATATTTTATTTTAAATTTTTTATTATTATTTTTTTAAGATTTTATTTATTCACTCGACAGACAGAGACCACAAGCAGGCAGAGAGGCAGGCAAAGAGAGAGAGGAGGAAGCAGGCTCCCCGCTGAGCAGAGAGCCCAATGCGGGCTCGATGCGGGGCTCAATTCCAGGACCCTGGGATCATGGCCCGAGCCGAAGGCAGAGGCTTAAACCCACTGAACCACCCAGGTGCCCCAGTACTGAGTATATTTTATAAGAAAGTATTAAAGTATTTGTTGAATGAATTTTTAAAATACCTTATAGATATTATCCCTGAAAATTTTTACTATAGAATGTTAGATTTGGAAGGGACTATGGATATTTTCTAGTGTCTACTCCCCTTAATTTATAGATGACACTTACGAGGATCAGTATGATTTACTCCAAATTATGTATCTGGCTGGTGTCAGATAAACTAAAAGAGCCTCACCTTCTGACTTCTGGCACAGTAATCCTCACCATAGTGCGCCCTGCCATTTGCTCAGAAGGCTTCCAGATATTTTCTCACCTCAGTGATATAAAGAATTACCTCACTACCCTATCAGCTCAGATTCAACATGTTCAAATACAGTTGCAAATTTCTTCTCCCTTCTTCTCCTTCGGTCAGCCTGCCATTTTAATTTCTCTGTCTTTCACAGTATTGCAAAGCTTTTATTAACTCTGGCTTAAAACCTTGAAATCCTCTTTTGTCATGTTGAGCCGTTACTCTCTCCCCCCACATGCACTGTAATCTGGAGGCCAGGCTTCCTTAGCAGCCCTTTATCAGCATTGCCAGATTCTGGTCTCTTTCCTCTACAATTCATTTTGTATACTAGACCAGTCTTTCAGAAGCACGCCTCATTTTCTTGCCATAAACTTTTCAGAGTTTATTTTAAACCCTGTCAAATATAAACTCCTTAAACTGGTTATGATTCACTTTGTAAAACGTGATAAGGCCAAACTCTAAAGTGTAGCATTCAAGGTCACTCTCCTCCTTTTTAAAAATTTTATCATCTAAAATTCCGTACAGGGACTAAGGAACTCCCTTTTTTCTATTACTTAGCTTCAGAGTTTGTCAGCACGTCTGGATGTTGTTTTATTTATACCTGTACCTACTCTCCCTGTCCCACCAGATTATTTTGAAGCAAATTCCAGTCATTGTACCATTTCATTTGTAAACATAACAGTATACAATATCTCTAATATACAATATCCCTTTTTAACATAATAATATATCATCACATCTAAAATATTGTCGATCCTTAATATTATACAATACAGTTTACTCTTGTGCACAGTATGGGGGTTAGGCTTGTCAACCCCTGCACAGTCAAAAATAACTTTTTATATCTTCATATAGCTTTGACTCCCCAAAACCTTAGCTATTAATAGCCCACTGTTGACTGGAAAACTTACTGATAACATAAACAGTCAATTAACACATATTTTATAAAGATATTATACACTTACAACAAAATAAGCTGGTGAAAAGAAAATGTTACTGTTATTTAAAAGATCAAAAGGAAGAGAAAATATATTTATAGTACTCTATTTATTGAAAAAACATCTGCACATAAGTGGATCTGTACAGTTCAAACCCAAGTTGTTCAAAGATCAGCTGTGTATGTGTGTGTATTTGTGTGCACATAATTATGTGTTTATATTCCTTTTTACAGTTTGTTCAGAGCAGGATCCAGATAAAGGCCACCCACTGCTTTTAAACAATACGTCTCTTAAATTTCTTTTAATCTATTACTTTCTCTTTCTCTCTTTTTTACCTTGCCATTTAATTGTTGAAGAAATGGGGCTGTCCTGTAGAGTTTCCTACAGTCTAGCATTTGCTAACTGTATCTTTCTTATTATTTATTTATTTATTTATTATTTACAGGAGTTTTGTACTTTAGATTATAATCTAGTGCTACCTTATTTATTTTATTGCTCAATGTCCCAACTTTTGCCACTGGCAACTCTTTCAGTTGCCTCTTGTGTCCCTTTGGTATACCCTACTATTGTGGGGTTTTTGTTTTTTTTTTTAAGATTTATTTATTTGAGAGACAAAGAGAGCAAGAGAGTGTGAGTTGGTGGGTGGATCGAGGGAAAGGGAGAAAGAGAGAATCCTTAAGCAGACTCTATACTGAATGACGCAGAGCTTGATCTCACAATCCCTAGATCATGACCTGAGCCGAAATCAAGAGTCAGGCACTTAACCAACCAAGCCACCTAGGTGCCCCTATTGTGGGGTTTTTTGAGCACTTCCTTACTTACTGGCTCTATAAGATGCTTCATCATATTCATTCCCAATGCCAGCCCTATAATTAGCCATTTTCTCAAGGAGCTCTGGTTCATTTTATTGGAGAATGGCATTAGAAACTAACATCTGGGCACTAGGTGTGGCTATTAACTTTCTAAATATTGCTTCTGCTCTGTTCTTTTTGGACTCCAATTACCTATACTTGGATTGAGATGTTCTTTTTACTATATTCCACAGGTCTCTTATGCTCTTCTCTAGGTTTTTGTTTTTTCTCTCTGTGCTTCCTTTTGGATATTTTTCTATTGACCTTTCAGTTGACTAATTCTCTTTTCTGTTGTGTCTAATCTGTTATTCAGTCCACTGACTGAATTCTTAATATCAGTTATTATGTTTTTCAGGTCTAGAATACCCATTTGATTCTTTTTTATAGATTCTAATTCATTAGTGAAATCAACTAAGGCACCCAGACACACAGGCATGAGCTTTATTTGAAGAATTTGTGTAAGAGATTTCTGAATCTGTCCCAATGAGGGAAGAAGGGGCCTTTCTTTCATGTCTGTTACTAAAATGTAAATTAAGATAATTGCTGATCAAACTTATATATTGTTCACAAGTAGTTTTTGGCCGCTATTTTAGTTATTGTGATCATCAGGGGGAAAAAAACCTTTTCTTAAGACACTCAACTGGAAAGGGCAGGCAGTGTACTTCAGTGGTACTGCACCACTCTGGAGAATATGCTTTCTGGCTCTGTCCTATGGCCAAAGGCAGCAGCAAATCCTACCTGTCATCACCTTTTGGTCAAAGCAGCCACAGATTTAAGAGTCTTTGGTTCACAGATGTCTAGACCCACAAGTACTTTACTGTTGAGCTTCACCTGGCACGTCATTAAATTGACAGTGAATACTGGGTACTTCAAACTGTGTTCCTAGGAGGCAGCTGTAATTCGATTAATCCAGAGTGTCCTCTTGTTCCTCTTCTTCAGTCTTTGCACTTTTGTGCATTTCACAAATGCTCTGGTCACAGCTCTGACCAACCTTAGCACCACACATGCTGCCTCACCTCCTGGACCCGCTAGGAGCAGTCAGTGAGGCCAGTGAAATTATTTTTTATCTATGTTCTTTATCTTTCCTCTCTCCTCCCTTTTTACATTTTGGTCATAGCAGTTATTTTAAAGTCATTGTCTGGTTATTCTCCTATCTGGATCATGTGTGATTCTGTTTCCACTGACTTTTTTTTTTCCCTTGGTAATCCTTTATGTGACTCTGTCTCTCAGCATGCCTGGTTTAAATTTTGGACATTGTGTGAAAAAATTATAGAACCTCCAGATAATATTATTTTCTTCCAGAAAGAGTTTACTCTTTCCTTTTACATTCAGGTAGACTATGGACCGCTTACCTTAATCCAGTCAGGGGCTAAGCAGAGTTGAGATTAGGTGGCAGTTTTGACTTGAGACTCTTGCTACCTTCAGTTCACCCTTCTTTCTTGAATGTAGCCCTCCAGATCTTTCAACTAAGAACCTGAAATGTTCATTGAGACCCCACCCCCATCAGGTACTGACTTTTATATTTGTCTCCTCAGTATGAAACTACTTTTTAGTTCAACGTTTTTTCCTTAGTGTATTGGTTTCCTATTGCTGCTGCAAAAAGTTATCACGGGCACCTAGCTGGTTCAGTTGGAAGAGAGTGCGACTCTTGATCTCACAGTTTGAGTTTGAGCCTCACACTGGGTGTACAGATGCCAATAAATAAATAAGTAAGTAAATAAACTTAAAAAGTTTATCACAAACACAGTGGCATAAAAATATTATTTTACATTTCTGGAGATCATAAATCCAAAATGCGTTTCACTCAGCTAAGATCAAGGTATTAGAAGGACTGCATTCCTTCTGGAGGTTATAGAGGAGAATCCACTCTTTTGCCTCGTCCAGCTTCTAGAGATTGCCTGCATTCTTTAGCTTATAAACCCTTCCTCCATCCTCAAAGCCAGCGGCATAGCATCTTCAAATATTTCTCTGACTCTCTCACCACCTTTCTTTTATAAGGACCCTTGTGATGACATTGAACCACCTGGATAATCCAGGGTACCCTTCCCATCTCAGAATCCTTAATTATATATCTGTAAAATTCTTTTTATTTTATTTTTTGCCATATAAGGTACCATATTCACAGGTTTTGGGGATTAGGACATAGATATGTTTGCTGAGAGGGCCATAATTTTGCCTGCCACACTTGGCTTTCAGTTTCAGAATTCAGCACATGTCTTAAGGGGAAAACCTACCATGTGACAGGCTCAGTTCCACTTTCTCCTTTTGGTCCTTCAAGTGTCCAATTTTATCTCCATATCCCTGCAAGTCTTGCTGGTTTCTTTTTCCCTGAGTTACTGGTGTTCTAGAGGGGCAAAGCCTGGATTTTTAGCTTCTAATTCTGTGCCTGGATTTGGCAAATGCCTCAGGGAGAATTCCGATGCAGGATATCAGTTTACCTCCTTGCAGTTCACCTCTTTCTGGGATTTTGTCTCCCCTAGTCTTGCTCCAGCTGCATTTTGATTCATTTTATCCAGCCTTGCTAATTAATCTTGGTGGGAACACTGGCATGTTACACAGTGTTCCATCATACCTCTGAGTCTTTTTGACACAAATATATATACTTAAATATAGCATTTTTTTCTTTCTGTATAGCCCAGGCTTTGGGTGTGACCCAAAGTTCGTCTTTGGGTCGAAGACAAGAGAGTTCGTCTATGCAAAACTTTGGGTGTGACCCAGAAGTCTCAGGTTTATCTTACACATTTCTAGCCCTACACTTGGAATTGATCATTTCCCTGAGGAGCCCTGGTTCTTTTTATTGGCAAAGGGTGTAAATATAGACTGTACTTTGAAGGCAAGATTGTGTTTTATGCATCTTTGTATCATTTGCACCTAGCACTTCCTTCATATATAACAGACCCTCAACAAATATTTGTCAAGTAAATTTTTATATTCCTGCCTTCACTTGGTTCCACTCAGCTTAACTACCACTTCCTTCATGAATTGTTTTCTGGTTTTTTTTTGTTGTTTTTTTTCCTTCTGTCTAAATTCTCTAACTTTTGTAGCACTTCTACAAATTTAGTTCAAATGTTATGTGACTGGACTTGGATTAGACAGGCTTTACAATTCTTTTGAATTCTGAGAACCTATAAATTAGCATCAACTATACATTAACTTATTCTTTTTATGTGTTCATTTTTTTACCTAATTAAATTGAGGGATTGAGGATTGAGACAGGTTTTATTCTTTTTGGACATATAGTAGTTGCTAAATAAATCCTTATTGGTGATAGATTAAGGTTAATTTTATTTGCAGTTTAGAAATAGGTGGAACTTTTTTGACTTAAGAAAGTGTGGAAGGGCGCCTGGGTGGCTCAGTGGGTTAAGCTGCTGCCTTCGGCTCAGGTCATGATCTCAGGGTCCTGGGATCGAGTCCCGCATCGGGCTCTCTGCTCAGCAGGGAGCCTGCTTCACTCTCTCTCTCTCTCTGCCTGCCTCTCCATCTACATGTGATCTCTGTCTGTCAAATACATAAATAAAATCTTTAAAAAAAAAAAAAAAAAGTGTGGAATATTCGGATTGGAGAGTTCGTCTATGCAAAACTTTCTACTAAAAAAAACCAAACAAACCCCAAAATGAACTGGGGGTACCTGGGTCGCTCAGTCAGTTAGGCATATCCAACTCTTGATAGCTTACATCTTGATCACAGGGTTGTGAGTTCAAGCCCCATGTTGGGCTTCACGCTGGTCATGAAGCCTAGTTAAAAAAAAACACCAAAAAACAATATTATTATGATATATGTGTATCTTTCTCTATAACCTGAAGCTGAACTGCTTACGTTCAAGGACAGCTTTGTCACTATTTGTTTGACCTTGGCAAGTTTACTTACTTTGTCTGATGAATCAGTTTCCATATTTATTAAATGGGTTTAATAATATAGCAGGAGCTCCTGGGTGGCTCAGTCAGTTAAGTGGCTGACTCTTGATTTCAGCTCAGGTCGTGATCTCAGGGTCCTGGGGTCCAAGCCCTTGTGTAGTGCTCTGCACTCAGCTCTGAGTCTGCTTGTCCCTCTCTTTCTGGTCCTCTCCCTGCTCTCTCTCTCCCTCTAAAATAAATGAAATCTTTTTAAAAAATAGTACCTACTTCATAGGATTAAGTGAGTCAATACATGTAAAGCACTTAGACCAGTGGCTGGTACAAAGTTAAGTGCTCAATAAATTTTAGTGATGACTCATACATACACACATGTATTAAAAATATAAAAGCATTTGTAATTTTTTCACTTAACATTGTATTGTGCACATATTTTCATTTTTTATAAATTTTGTAAATGTTTTTGTGTTTTGATAAAATATCTCTTTAATGGCTACATAGAATTTCATTGCCATAAAATACCATGATTTCCTCTATCACTTACTACTGTGCATTTCAGTTATTTCCATTATTTATTTATTTATTTTAAAATTTTTATTTTTAAGTAATCTCTGTACCCAACATGGGTCTTGAACCCACAACCCCAAGATGAAGAGTCATATACTCTACCAACTGAGCCAGGCAGGTGCCCCATAAAATTGTTTCCATTTTTTTTTTAAAGATTTTATTTATTTATTTGACAGAGAGAGATCACAAGTAGGCGGGGGGGCGGGGAGCAGGCTTGCTGCTGAACAGAGAGCCTGATGCAGGGCTCGAACCCAGGACCCTGAGATCATGACCTGAGCTGAAGGCAGAGGCTCAACCCACTGAGCCACCCAGGCACCCCAAATTGTTTCCATTTTTTAACTGACTTTTATTTTGCCTAACATTCTGTCTTTCTCAAGATTTGGGGAGATAATGGTTAATTTGAGAATTCAGAGGCAGTGTAGCAATTCTATAGAGAGAATACTGGGTTCAGAACTAGTTAGATTGAGTTCTAGTTCAGAGTTTGTCCCTTTCTTTTCTGGCACTCTACAAAATGATCACAGTGGACAAAATAATCTATTAGGTCTTTTCCAGACCTACTTTTTTATATTATTGTGCAAGATTTCAGTCATAAGTCTTAGATAGTATTTCCTCTAAAATTTACTCAAAAATATCTTGGCTGAAGTAATCTATAATAACTTCCCACGCAAAATACCAAAGACTCAAGGTATTGACCACTTAGGCTGGTCAGAGTCTGGGGTTGTTAAGAGTCCTTGGGCTGTCGCCTCCAGTTACATCTATGATTTCAGTCCCTTCTAGTTTATCCAGTATATTCTGCTGTACAAATAGGATTTTCTATGTGGCAACCTGTGAAAAGGTTTGGAAGCACTCATCTATAAGAATGTATCAAAGATATAGCACAGAAGACTGTGGGGGAAGGGAAGGAAAACTGAAAGAGAAGAAATCAGAGAGGGAGACAAACCATGAGAAACTTTTGACTCCGAGAAACAAACTGAGGGTTGGGGCTCCTGGGTGGCTCAGTTGGTTAAACATCTGGCTTTGGCTCAGGTCATGATCCCAGGATCCTGGGTTCGAGCCCCACATCAGGCTCTTAGCTCAGCGGAGAGCCTGCTTCTCTCTCTCCTCCCAATTTGTGCTCTCTGTCTCTAAAATAAATAAAAATCACCACAAAAATAAAATAAAATAAATAAAAATCTTGGGGCACCCGGGTGGCTCAGTGGGTTAAAGCCTCTGCCTTCGGCTCAGGTCATGATCCCAGAGTTCTGGGATAGAGCCCCGCATCAGGCTCTCTGCTCAGCAGGGAGCCTGCTTCCCCCTCTGCCTCTCTGCTTACCTCTCTGCCTACTTGTGATCTGTCTGTCAAATAAATAAATAAAATTAAAAAATAATAATGATAAATAAATAAAAATCTTAAAAAACAAACAAACTGAGGGTTGTGGAAGGGAGGGGGGTGGGGGAGAAAGGGTAACTGGGTGATGGGCATTAAGGAGGGCATATGATCTGATGAGTGCTGGGTGTTATATGCGACTAATAAATCATTGAACACTGCATCAAAAACTAATGATGTATTATATGTTGGCTAATTGAATTTAAATAAAAAAATGTATCCAAGAAAACTTTTGCTCATGGCAAATAGATATAGTTCAGATCCTTGTTATATTATTTATAATTCTTCATTCTTTGACTTTTCAGCATGGCTGCTCGCTGTTTCTGGGATGCCGACACTGACAACTACACTTACGATGTTTTCATGAATGTAAGTTTATTTGAAAGCCTCTTTTTCCTTTCCAAGGACATGTGGACATTCCAAGTCAAATTAATATTATTAAGATATGAGGACACTTTAGTTTTAGATGTCTGTCTTTGACTCCTGGATGAAATGAATTTACTGTTCCTTTACTGTGTTACTAAAGCAGAAGAAATCTAATGTGTCGCCCAAAGGGAGACTTGTAGGTGTACAAATGATATAACTCTTTACAAGTTTGATTTTGAGAAATCATTTATTTAGTGCTAACAGACATGTGGCACTTGGCTAACTATAAAGAAGTTTGGTTGGCAGGGGTGTGTTTGGGTGGCTCACTTGGTTAAGCGTCTGCCTTTGGCTCAGGTCATCATCTCAGGGTCCTGGGATCAAATCGTGCATTAGGCTCCCTGCTCATCAGGGAGTCTGCTTCTCCCTCTGCCTTTGCTGCCAACTCGTGCTCTCTCTCTCTCTCAAATCTTTAAAAAAAAACCAAAAGAAATTGGGGTGGCAGGGATTCATGAGCAAAGGTGATTTTCACTCAGTAATAAAATTAATTATTTTATCTTAAAGCTATTTTCAAAACTAAGCAAAAGAGAAATTTTTAAAAAGAGATTTCATTTAAACACTGGTACATTATTGGCTGAATGTTTTATATATTTTAATCATATGTTGTTATACTTGCTTCCAGAAATGATCCCTAGGTTGTGAATTAGTAGACTCAGAGTTAAAGTATAGTAGAATAGAACAGAAACTTGGTTGAGTGAATTAGGAGAGGGGTTCCATTTCCAGCTTGGTAACTTTCTAATTGAATGACTTCAGGTGTCATTGGACTTTTCTCTGATTGTATCAAGTAACATTAGGAAGCTGTATTAGATTTTCCCAAAGAACAGCTGTGGTTGCCTAAAAATAATTTGGGGGACTTGTTTAAAGTACAGATGCCAAGACCCTACTCAAGTAGATTCTGATCAAATAAGTCTGGTGTTAAATCAGTGCATCTGAATTTTTAAAAAAGTTACCCACATGATTATGCTTACTGCCAGGTTTGGAAGTTGCTTGTGTTGATGTCATCTTAAGATACCTTTTAGCTCTAAAATTCTATGGTCCCACCAAAATTTCATTTTATGTTCAACTCCCTTAGGGAACAAGGGCTGAATAGTAGGAAGTACTGTGTAAATCCCATTTATCAGCTCTCTAGGGGAAGGGTCAAGCTAAGGTGATGGTTTTTCCTGCTTTTTGGAGTTACTGAATCCTTATACAACGCAATTAAATCATTCAGCAAATAATCTGAGCTCCCATTAGGTGCCAGCCTCCCCTGGGGGTGCGAGGGATAAAATTTTGACCAAGACAGGCATGGTGAACTCTGGGAGGTACTGTAGAACAGCCAAAGTGGAATCTATAGACCATTGCCAGTCCTTACGCTGTGTGGTCACAGATCCTTTATAAGAGAAGTACATAGAGTGTAAGAGTTTAAAAACTCTTACAGGAATTGGACAAAGTAATTTTATATTGGTAAATTTAATAGTAAAAAGTTTAGGCTATATTTTGTATGTTTCTTTTTTCATTTCATTTTCCCATTTATTAATTTTTATTGTATTTTACAAAAGTATCAGCCCATAAGGCCTGGACAATAAAAAACAAAACAAAACAGGTTTCTCACCACAGATAGCACGATTGTAGAACACAGCTCATGGTTCTCCCACCCAAGGATACAGGGACCTGGGCTTAACCAAAGAATTTTGCTTTGGTTAGTAATCAGGTACTTAAGTTTAGATTGTTTTCTCCCAGTAGTACCAGGCTGGAGGTGAGAGTTGCTGGTCTCAGGAGTCACTGAGGTAGGTGGAACTCCTCTAATAACTTAAAAAGTGTTTTAACAAGTTTAACTGTGATTGAGTTAAAAGATAGATAAATGGATTTTATCAATTAAGAACAAACACCCAGATGCCATTTGCCCTGACCCAGAATTTATGACAAGGTGCTGTTACGTTTTTTAAAGATTTATTTATTTGAGAGAGAATGAGAACGCATAGGAGGAGGAGCAGAAGGAGAGGAAGAGAGAGAATCTTGAGCAGACTCCCTCCTGAGCACAGAGCCCAAGGTGGGGCTTGATCATGGTCTTGGGATGATGACCCGAGTCAAAAATCCAAGAGTCCATGCTTAACTGACTGAGCCACCCCAAGATGCTGTTATTTTTATCTATGATATAATATCATTATGCACTTACTCCTAAGAAACTCAAAACATTTCATATTGTTATTTCTGTGATAAATTAGGAAAAATGGGACTACTCATTTTATGGAAATGAATTACATGAGGTTCATTAGTTTGCATTTTACTTCTACCTTCAGAAAGTCTAATTCTTTACCCATCCCACCCTTTGAGCAAGCAATTTTGTAGTTACCCTGAAGCAAGCAACTTTATAGCTATATTCTGGAAACCCTTTGTATATTGAAGGAAAAACCTTTGTGATTGAAAACTGGCAAAGATCTGAGATGATGTTCATTTCAATTGCCTTTGCTGCCCCTTAGCCCTTCATTAGTACTAACGTTCTGGATTTGTGTATGTTTTGTTTTGTTTGCTTTTTAGGACAGTTTATTCTGTGTTGTAGCGGCATTCGGCTGTTTCTACTATTGAATCTGAAAAGTTGGGTAAAAATATGACCATGAAGAAATAGAGACTTTTTTATATTGTTAAATATCTCAACAAAATAAAGATAATTTGGCATTTTGGCAACTGAGTCTATTCAGTTTTAGGCCTTGTATTTTAGTGTTTTGATTTTGTTGTAATATGTTCTTAATTGTATTTGGAAAGTGGGGGAAATTCATATTTCAATTGTTCAAACATAACCAATTGTAAATATTTGGATATATTTTCTACCAGTGTGTATTTTCAGGGTTTTAAAAAATCATATACACAATTTTGTACCCTGATTTTTCACTTCTCATAATGTCATGAGCAGTGTTTAATGTCATTTTATTTCCATTATGATTTTCATAAGCATAATATAATAGCTGCACTCACTCCACTAGGTTATACCATTGGTAACTGTTGCCATTTCCTTATTAAGGGATTGATTAGAAATTTTCACTATTACAAATAACACTGGCATGAATTTATTTGTGCATAAAGGTTTTTTTGTACATTCTAAATTGTTTTATCTCCTATCCATTGTTTCTGCTTTGCTATTGCCATCTTACACCTTACACAGCTTATTAGGTGAAATGCACATTCATTTTCTCCTGGGTCTGCCATAGTGTCAGACACAGTGTCCAAGTTGTGTATGAAATCGGGCCTTCCTTTGAAACTTGGAGATTATTTTGGTTACTATCCAAGCTCCCACTCTCTTTATAGTGATGTTCCCCGTTGTAGCCCCTGGCGTCTTCTCCAGCTAGCAGCCCTTATTGGGAACACCTTAGTTTCCAAGCCACGTTCAAGTAACTATTTGAAATTCAAAAGAGAAAGGGTTACAATTTAAATCCTGTTTCTCCCTGGGGGCTCTTCAGTACAGTCCTGAGTGTATCCACCCACTTTTCTTCTCAGCCACTTTCAAGTCAAGCATGTAGACAAAAAAACAGTAATAAATATATTTAAAGTTCTTTTACATTCTTCTCCCTTAACATTGGGTATTTGCTTGTCTTGCATCTGTGGAATCAAAAGTGACCCCTCCAAAGGTTCATTCTAGCAAAGGAAAACGTTTCTCTACCAGATACCCTACTACATGTGGTTTCCTACCAGCCGGCCTTCCTTGATTCCGCTCCTGCTCAATTAGACCTCGGCTAATAATCATTTATGGGAGAGCCAACCTGGGTCAGAAATAACGGAAACGAGGGTTTGGGACCGGCTACAGGTCACCACAGGGCTGGGCGGACGGACGGGAGTTCTCCCTTCGTGACCAAGTAGGGCAAAGTTGGCGCTGGGGTGAAGCAGCCGCGGGCCGAGGGGTCTCCGGCGGAAGGCGTCACGGCCACCTGCCCTGCGCCAGAGGCCCGGGACGGGACGGAAAGGCCAGAGAGAGCAGGTCCTCCCCGACTGGCAGCGAGCACGCGCGACAGTCCACGGCCGTAACTCCCCACGAGGAGGCGTCTTCACCCCAAACTCCAGTTCCGCATGGCGACTGGCCCTTAGCCACCTCATCTCTTGTGTCCGGCGTTCTCTGTTCAGCCACGCCATCCCTTTGGAGGGCGGAACTACTGAGTCAGGGGTCATGGTTTTCAGGGAAATGTCGTAGTCGGATTGACAAGAAGGCGGGCAGTAGGCGGGACTTCCGGGCCGCTGTTCCGTCAGCTGCCTTTCCCGGGCGTCTCCCCGCAACCTCTTCAACTTTCCTTGTCCGTGACGCGGCGCCCGGGAGAAAGCTGCCAGGACTCGGGCCCGCGGAGCGTGAGCTGCAGGTGAGGATCCGGTGTGTGCATCTCCTCGCGGCTGTCTCCGAGAGGACACGTTGTGTGGCTAGGACCGCCAGGAGACTGACCGAAGACTGGGTCAGTGACAGCGAGGGGAGTGCGTGGAGGGGTTACGAGGCTGCTGTGACCCTGGGCAGTGACAGCGAGGGGACTGTGACCGAGAGGTAGCTGCTTGCGAGGAGTGTGCGACCCAGGAGCGGTGAATGCGAAGGGACTCTGACCTCGGAGAGCACGAGGCAGAGGCTGCGAGAGGAATATGACCGAGAAAGTCTGAGACAGTGCCCCGGAGGAGACTCCGGGTGGAGGGACAGTGACTGTGCAGGGAATCCGACCTAAGGGAACCTGAAGCAGCGGCCAGGAGCGGGGAGGGGGGCGGATCTTTGACTCAGGAGCAGTAACTTTGAGGGGCTGACTTGGACAACAGTGTGGGCTCGGTGCCTGGACATGGTACTGTAGGGTTGTGTTTGGGCACAGGGTGTGGTTGAGCGGTCATGACTGGGCAGGGAAGGTGTGTAGTATAAAGAATGCGGGTCTGGGTGGCATTTATCAGACCTGAGTTTAAATTTATGGACAAACGTCTTGTGGCTGGAAAACTTACCTCAAAGCCCAGCTCCGGTTTTTTTTCTTTCTTTTTAAAAGATTTTATTTATTTACCTGATAGTGTCATTGACAGAGGGAGCACAAGAGGGAGAAGGGAGCATCAAGGTTCCTGCTGAGCAGGGAGCCTGTCTTGGGGCTCCATCCCAGGACCCTGGGATCATGACCTGAGCCGAAGGCAGACTCATAAGGCCTGAGACATCCAGGCACCCTATCAGCTCCAGGGTTTTCATCAGTGAATGGGAAGTTTGGACTAATGTTTACTAGACTAGGGGTTCCATGCTATTGTTGGGTTATGAAATCCGTTTAGTGGATAGCACCTGAATTTCTTTTAATGGAATACAATAGGAATTTTCAGTGTGTTCACATAGTATTGTTTCATGAAACTTGTTTCAGTTATGTATGTATGAGATGATGATGTAAAATTGATTTCATATATCCTAAAATGTATGAAATGTAGTAAAAATGTTTAAACTCAGTTTATTTCTGAGTTTTCTTTCAGGTCTAAAATGCCATGATTCTTTGTTTAGGGGACTGTTTAGAAGTTCAAAGACTGGCTCTATGGCTGGGGCAGGGGTGAAGGGGGATAGGCTCCATCAGATTGACTTAATTGGAGAAGGCTTCCCAAATATAATTGAGGTGACTGGTTATGACTGAAGATTGAAACTCAAGATCTCAGTTGTAGAACCAGAACTTAACATATTGAAATAGGGACAGCGATATTTATAGAAGCAGTGAGGATATAGGGGTTTGTGATAGGAAAAACTGCTAGGAACAGACATCGAGAAAGGGGAAGCTTTGAGGAGGGTAGGAACAAGGCTTAAGAAGGGAACTGAAGATAGAGACAGAACATTCTGCCAATACGGACTTTAGGGTTCTTTTCAATCTTGGTATTTAGTGATTCTGTAAGCACCATGAATTGCCGGTAAAAAGATATTAGTTGAGAATGGAATTGTTGCAATAATCAGTGGTAAGCAGATGGTGACCATAATGTGGAAGAAAGGATGATGTTAGGAAAGTCAACAGTGGTGATCTAGAATACCATATGGGAGAGGCTTTGGTGTATTTAGCTGTCCAGCTCCATGATTTATGTACTAGAGGCCAACACTGGCAAACTAGGAATAATACCATGCCGTGAGTAAATTTAGATGATGTTTTAGCTGGTGGTTTTATCCCCTACTGATCCCCATTCCTGAGGGCTGTTAGCAATGCAGGTGAAATGAACTAAAGTGAGTTTCACTACGTCCTCTCTACAAACTTTTGTAGAAGGTGCTACTGATTGTACACCCAGTGATTTTTTAAACAATATTTAATAGAAGAAGTTTGAGGGGCGCCTGGGTGGATCAGTGGGTTAAAGCCTCTGCCTTCTGCTCGGGTCATGATCCCAGAGTCCTGGGATCGAGCCCCGCATAGGGCTCTCTGCTCAGCAGGGAGTCTGCTCCCCCACCCACCGCCTGCCTCTTTGCCTACTTGTGATCTCTGTCTGTCAAATAAATAAATAAAATCTTAAAAAAAAAAAAAGAAGTTTGAGGTAATTTTAGCCTATCTGATGCTGCAATTATCTGATAACGTAATAGGGACCCTCACCTCCTACACACATATACTTTGTAATAGAGGAAGGTAGTTCAGAAAGTTTCTTGAGTTACCGGTATGGTATTGAGTTGTGAATGGTGGGGGAGAGGCTTTGTTTAGTCAAAAAATGGCTAGTTACACCTTTTTCTAAAACATTAGATGTTTACTTGGCTTACACTTATACATAACTGAAAGGAACTACTCAAGAATTTCTGTAACAGAATATAGTTGACCCTTGAGCAACACGTTTTAGCTGCATGGGTCCACATACACGTGAATTTTTTTTCTGATAAATACAATATATACTATAAATGTATTTTTTCTTTCCTATGATTTTCTTTTTTTTTTTTTTTTAAGAGAGAAAGGGGGAGGGGCAGAGGGAGAGATAGAATCTTAAACAGGCTCCACACTTAGCTTGGAGCTGAAGCAGGACTTCATCTTACATTCCTGAGAACGTGACCTGAGCCAAAATCAAGATTCAGATGCTTAATTGATTTTCTTAAAAAAAAAAAAAGATTTTGTTTATTGATTTGAGAGAGTGAGAGATAACACGTAAGAGGAGGAGGAGAGGGAGAAGCAGACTCCTTGCTGAGGAGGGAGCCCAATGTGGGGCTCGATCTTAGGACCCAAGGACCATGACCTGAGCCAAAGGCAAACACTTAACCACCCAGGCCCCTCAGCCCCTTTATGATTTTCTTAATAACATTTTCTTTTCTTTAGCTTCCTTGTATTCCTTGTCAGAATATGGTAAATAATATGTATAATATACAAAATATGTTAATCAACTATCAGTGTTATTGGTAAGGCTTCCAGTCAACAGTAGGCTTGTTTTGAAGGGTCAAAAGTTATAAGCAGATTTTCAAGTTTGTGTGTTGGGGAACAGTGCCCCTAACCTTTGTGTTGTTCAAAGGTCAGTTGTATATGCTTCAAGATAACTGACTTAGAAGTCATTTAGACTTGGAGACTGCAGCACTGCCTCTGGGGTCCTTTGTGTTTGTTGCATGAAAGGATTCTTTTGACCTACCCTGCTTTGCAAATTCCCTTCAAAAACCGGTGTAATGGCCTGATTGATAAAGAATGAACTTTATTCCTTTCTTAGCCTAGGATTTTTCTTCCCATAAATAGGTGAGGTTTTGTTTTTCTTGGGGTCCTTCTCTTTGGATATGTGATCCCTTAGGGAGAATAATCTAGTCAGAGCCTTAGATTTAGAAATCCCAGGTTAATTATCTGATGTTAACCCTAACTCACTCTGTGACTAAGGGAAGAACTGTTTGCTTTCTCTTGTTTTAGCTTTTCTGACTATGGCAGAGGTAACTGTTTTTCTGCTTAAACAGTCTTTAATCATCAGAAACATAGTCATCCTCACCAAATTTTGTATACAGTCTCATGGAGTTTGTAAACCACCTGACCCCATTCATGATTCCCCTATGGAGCTGTCTAACCTATAGGTTAGAAATGATTCTCTGAGGGAGCTAAATAACTTTTCCATGTTATAAATGCTGATAAAAATTGATTTAAAAAATATTTATAGGAAAAGCAAGCATAATAATTTGCTATTGTTATTAATGTTGAGTAATGACAAGATAGTAATAATTATAATTTTCTTATGCTTTACTTTTCATGTATTTGCATAACTGATCTGAAGTCAGATCTTTTGGCTTTTCTACCGTTAGAGAACTCCTTCTATAATTCAGTCAAGAAATTCAGGGAATATACACATTTTTACGTACTCTATTTTGCAGTATGTGCCATAGCTCCACTCGAGAAGAAAAAAAAAGAGAACTGTTTGTGAGTCTCTAAAAAATATTTGGCACTATGTTTGTTTACATACATTACTCCATTAATATAAATAATTTAATTGCTTGCATTTTACTATTTGCAAACCAGATTAGTAGGTAGATATATACCTGGATTTTTCTGGTTTTTGTTTTGTCTTTTTTTCCCTTTCTTTTGGTAACTCTATTGTTAAAAGTTACATTAGTTTGAAGCTTTCTTTATTTGTCCTAGAATGACTGCCAGTGAGCCGGGGATCCCCTGGGTCTGCCAGGCTGTTATATCACACTCACAACTATTTGCAAACCAATTTTGAAGTGAAGGCTGGTAAAAAAATAGTGACATATGGTCTTTGCTCTATGCTAGAGAACAAAATGGGTGTGTGGCACTTAACAGAAAATAGGTTTTTTGTTTTGTTTTTTAAGTAGATTTTCTTATTTTAATTTAAAGGGAATTATCCTAGGTGTGATTATCTTTGTTTATGTTTTGGCCCTAGAGTAGAAATCTTAATCTTTTTTTGTGCCATGGGCCCCTTTGGCAGTATGGTGGAACCTGGTGGATTCCCTTTTGGAATAATATTATTATACCAGGCAAATAATTAAATACATAAAACAAAAAGGAAACTATGTTGAAATAAAGTTACCAAAATGCTTTTGAAATGTGTGATATAGGGAACTCCTAGGTGGCTCAGTCATTTGAGTATCTAACTCTTGATCTTAGGATTGTGAGTTCAAGCCCCAAGTTGTGCTCCATGCTCAGTGTGAGGCCTACTTAAAAAAAATAAATATAAAATAAAATGTGTAATATAATACTATATGTGCTTTTCATTAATACCATAAATAATGTTTATTATTAGTGGATCTTATAACCATAATAATTTAAAAATGATCATATGTTTAAATAGTGTTTCAAGATATTTTTAATAAGTGTGATGTTATCTGAAAGTAAGATTTCTATTATTGACAATCTGTTACTGTTGTAGCTTATGTTCATAATTGAAGGAAATTGTGAATTTGCCAGAGGTTAGTAAAAATGAAGATATAATTCTTTTTGTCCAAATTCCAGACTTCCCTGAATCTGTCAGAGACCCTGTCTTAGATATATGAATTCCATAACCCACTCTAGGAAAAGCAGAATCTAAACACTGTGTTTACTCACTGAATTTTGTAGTGGAATGGTGGGAGAGCAAAATTATTCAACCATAAAAATTAGTACAAGTGTCCCTTGTGGTTTTTAGGATAGTCTCTTTCCTGAAATATTCTGTTGTGTGGTGAGGCCCAAATACAACCTTTATTTTGTTCTATGGTGAACCGAGGGTCTGGCACAGTGTAAGTGCCCACTCAGTGTCTGTTGAATAAAGGTTTCTCTGAAGAAATTAGAGGGAAGAGATCAAGTTCAAAACTAAGATCTTAGATGTGGCAATTTAGTAGCCTCAAATATTGAGGCATAACATTGAGCTCTGGTTTAAAACTAGTCTGTTAATGTGGTTATATTGTGGTCTTTACCTTATCATTTAGAATTTCCCAAATCAGGCATACTTATGGCTTACTCTATATAGTGTGGTAATATATACAGATTAGTGACATAAACTGCAGAAGTCCTATATCAGAAAGTTACAGTACAATTTCTTGAAGTCATATTCCTAGCACTGACTTCTACTTTACTGTTTGCATAATCTAGGTAGGATTTGCTATCTAATTAATGATAAACTGGTTCTTTCTTCATTTAGTATAAGAGATGGCAACTTTCTTGGCAAACTTGGCAAACTTTTTTTCAAAAGGACCAGATAGTAAATATTGTACTTTACAAGTCATACAGTGTCTATTGCCAACTACTCAACTGTGCAGTTATAGCACAAAAGCAGCCATAGACAGTACATCAGTGAACGAGCATAGTTGTGTTCCAATAAAACTTTAATTTCAAAAGCAGTCAGTGGGCCATTTTTGGCCTGTGAGGTCTGCTGGTTCTTGAACCCAGTCCCTCCTCCCCACTGTGGGTTAAATATATCTTCCCTCCAACTTCAAAGGTCTTTGCACAGGGATGACATGACTGCATTCTTCTCTTTGGAAAGGCCTGAGTGTACAGCAGATGACGTGATTAATGCCAAGAGTATTAGATGCACTTTGACCTAGAAGTTCACAGAGCTTGCCTTTTTTTTTTTTTTTTAAACATATAATGTATTATTAGCCCCACAGAGCTTGCCTCTTAAGAGCACCACTTCATTAAGCTCCACAGTGGTGGAAACAGGTAAAGATCCCAAGTATAAAGTATTCTTGCTCACTCAGCCTTGGAACTGGACATTGGTATGTCAATAGGAAGTTACTGAGCATATGGTTTTACTGAAGCAGACAATGTCCCAGAGATGGGAGAAGCAGGAATAGAATGCAAAGGAAAAATTCATGTCTCCTTTTTTTGCAGATAGTTCCCTGTAGTACTCCGTCAAATTTGAATTCAGTTTTTGAAACTTGAAGAATGTATGTGCTTACAGTTTGCTATTACTTAATTTGTTGCATAGGTTAGGAAGCATCTCATCACCCTGAGATGCTTACTAGATCTCTTAGTAATAAGGAAGTAGAATAGAAGGGGTGGGGGTGGGAGTCCTTGAAACTACAGTTGCAGGAGATTGTCATCTTTAAAACACAAGCGTATGCATACCAGTACCCAGATTTTGTCTCCGTTAGGACACATAGATTGGAAAAATACTTTACTAGGTTTATCCTCAGTTATCTTCTCACTGCCACCCTTCCCACCTCACACACATTTTCACTTCTCTGTACTTTCTTTTTTTTTTTTTTTTTTTTTTTTGAGTGTTCAACTTTATTGAGGGCATGGGAGTTGACAGGGGGCCCCGGGTGCCTGCGGATGAGGCCTGCAATCAGCCTGGAGGGGCAGTGGCCCGGTGGGCAGCCGGGGACAGTGTTCCCATGACCTGGGTTTACTTGAAAGTGTGACTCTCAGCTCCACCCCGCCCAAAACCTTTAGGCCCGAACATGGAGGCGTAGCAGGGGTGGTTGCAGTAAGGCTTGCCTTCATGCTCAGCGTGGCCCCCTGACGTCAGCGTCTTCCCGCATTTCTCACACTTCAAGCAAGGCCGATGCCAGTCCTTCCCCAGAGAGGTCACCCGCTCAGCTGCAGAGGCACAGACGGTGCCCCCCCACCCAGCATAAGACCCTGCTCTGGGGTCACAGGGCACAGCCACCTATTCACAGCAGCCTTCTCCAGTTCCCTCCACCCTTGGTCTCACCCGGGGCGCCTGGTGGCCCACCCTGGGTCTCAGCCCTGTGCCGCATGGGGGGGGGGGCACCTCCAGTCCCCTGGGCCAATCCGGCCAAACAAACGGGAGGGGGCGCGGGGTGGTACTGCCGGAGGAGCGCCGGGGGCGGGGCTTCTCTGTACTTTCTTAGTAGCAAAATTGATGCATCCAAGCAGGCATTTATTGAAACATTGAAGAACAAGGCAAGCAGTGTGTTCTGGGAGGTGAGTCAGCAGAAATGGAGCCAGATTTTGTGAATCTGAGTAAAAATCACAGGCATAGATACTACATTCTGTATTTTGAAAGCAATTTAAAGACCCTAATTTGCTTAATAGGCATGGTGGTGGTCTGGTGGTAGTGGCCGTTACGTCTATATTTAGATTTGTGCATTAGTGGGGATTTTGACTAAAAATAGGTTACTAGGGACTGTAAAGGTACCAATGTTAGATCAGACCTTACACATGCTATCAGCTCCCTTTAGCTCTCTTTTGTTATAATTTCATTTTACAAAGAAACTTTTTTGTAGGATAAACTGCTAAGGAAACAGGAAGCCTTGGTACACCCTAATGAGTTGAAGACAGAGGCTCTGTATCCTATCTCCACTACTTTCATTCTGACTTACCCTAGCTTAATTAATATGGATGCCATGGCTGGAAGTCAGGATCCACCTATAGAATATTAGGTAATTCTCCACTCCCCATCCCCATTCTGATCTTACACTATATTGGTTCTGAAGAGGTACCATCTTTTTCCAACCTTATCACCTTCTGCACAGCCTGTTATGTTAAGGCAGCCATGTATGTGTTTGGTTTTTTTTCCTCGCTTGAATGTAGATGTTTAAAGCTACCCCCTTTCCCAGGGAAATCACTATACCTTTACTTAATGGTATTGGTTGATTACAGAGGTATAGTTATCATAAACGGAGAGTTTGGGAAGTATTGTTCCTCATTGTTGGAGGAACGGGGCAATTGTGAATGTTGTAAAGGTGATGTGGTTTTAGGAATAGCAAAGTTTGAGTATAACGAACTAAAAGCCGACGTGTATTTACTATTCTCAGTATGCTCTCATCCTCCCACATACCTTTTCTCAGTGGCAAACCTGATATGTCAGGCATCTTTTGTAATTTTTGGGGAACTGGTAATTTTTTTTCCAGTAAGGCACTAATAGTTAAATTATTCTATATGCTTTCATGGTGTGTAAGTTAGTAGATGTGAGGGAACATGGGGTTGGTCTAAGAGAGAGCCAGTGGGGTGCCTGGGTGGCTCAGTGGGTTAAAGCCTCTGCCTTCGGCTCAGGTCATGATCCCGGGGTCCTGGGATGGAGCCCTACATTGGGCTTTCTGCTCAGCAGGGAGCCTGCTTCCCCCTCTCTCTCTGCCTGCCTCTCTGCCTACTTGTGATCTCTGTCAAATGAATAAAATCTAAAAAAAAAAAAAAAAAAAAAAGAGCCAGTGATTTAAAAAAAAAAAAAAAGATCACACTCTTGAGTGATCTAGAGTCAAAGTTTAAAAAATAATAGTAGTTTTAGAGGAAAAAAGGCATGAGAGTTAATGAGAGTTAATCTTTTTATGATTTCAAAATTCTTTTAGAGTTATTGTTGAAGAATGTGATCTTGGTGTTCTCCATTTTCTCAGAAAGTGGATAAGATACAGAAGTGTTTTACATTAAACACCAAATGTATTTGGTATATTTGCTTCAAATCCATAGGATCTTAAGACCTGAGTTTCAGTCTAATGTATAATGTTCAGTTTAAAGTGTAATGTAAAATACAGTGTAATATACAAAAGTCATCTTTAGAAAATAGAAGAACCGTATGTAAGCAGATAAGGAATAGTGTAACCAGATAAGGAAAAATACTTTTAACCAGGTGGGAGCTTTGTTGTGCCATCTTTGATACACTTATAAACTGACAAGAACTTGATTCCTTTCCATCAAAAGAAAACAGTAATTTATAAGTGCTTTTCAAAATTTCAAAAGTGGTTTTCTATACTTAGTATATTTATTCAAATAGTAATTGAGTGTGCCTACTATGTGCCAGAGCTCATTGCTAAATATTAAATGCACCAACTGTGATTTTTGTGGTTACAAGTGATAAGAAACCCAGTTTAACTAATTTAAGCAAAAAGGGGAATGGATGTATTGGTTGGCACAGTTAGACAAGGATCTAAATTCTCCCCATCATCTGCTTGCTTTCTGTGTGTCAGTGCTTTCAAAAAAGTCTCTCCTCCTGGTGGTCGGATCGCCACTAGATTGTCACAGGATGCTTCCCAAAGCCATGTCTCTCTAGGTTCAGGTCCCCAAGGAGAAGTGATAATCTTCATCCAAGCATTTCCATCTGGTGAGTTCTGAAAAGTACTCTGATTCAACTGACTTAGGTCACCTATTACTGTCCATTTTCCCTCCCTCCTTCCAATCTGTGGCCAGGGGAAGGTGATATGCTGATTGGTTAAAGTTTCATACATGTGATCTGATAAGATTTGAGGTTGAAGCTTACCAAATAGACCAAAAGAAAGTGAGCCCATAAATAAAAATGGGCTCTTTTCAGAGCAGGAGGATTGAACAGTGGGAAGACAAACAACAAATATCTGCTACATAAGGGAATTTATAGTCTAATTTCTCATTTGATCCTTAGCATGATTTAGAAATTAAGTACATTTTATTAGAGCCTTACCTAATCACATAGATAAACTCTTACCTAGAGTTAAGGTACTGGAAGGAGCTAGAATTAAATCCCAGTTTATATGATATGATTCTTAGTCTAGTGTCCTTTCTGCTCTTCTACTCTGGCCCAAACCAAAATAAGTCTCCCAGAGTTCTTGAGTATTTTGCTATTGATAGGCCCAGTGAGAAGGGAGCCCATTGTTTATGAAAGGTGAAATTAAATTCCTGACAGTGTAATACATGGTTTTGATTAAATTCTTGTATGACCATTTTATATACTAGGCAGCATAGTACAGACCCTAGAGTCAAAATGCCTAGGTTCAAATCCTATTTTTGCCCTGTCCTAGGTGACCTTGGTCATTTAACTTAGCTGTGCCTCAATTTCCTCATCTTCAAAATAGGGATAATAGTATTAACTTATAGGATTGTTGTGAGGACTAAGTTATTTAACATATGCAAAGGTTAAAAATTCCTGGCATGTAGGAAGTGTGCTAAATAAATGTTAGCTATAATTATTATCATCACTATTATCGTAATCTTTGGTATTGTGATAGAGAAATGTGGGTTTTGTGATAATGCAATAAGACAGATTTACATCTGATTGAATACTAATCATTAAGATATTTAAATATATTCTCTATCCTGGGTTGTTTTTTTTCCCCCCGGAAGACTTTATTTGAGAGAGAAGGAGCATGCAAGAGAGAGTGCGAGCAGGGCGGAGGAATCTAGTGGTAGGTCACATTGGTGTATGGACATACCCTGGTCAGTATTTTCAGCGGTGACTTGGATGGAGATGGATTATAGATTTCATAAAATTATGGTAAATAGCTAATATTATAGATGGCATTCAAGATTAGAAATTATTTTAACAGATTGGAATAAGCAAAAAGATCAACCAAGATGGACTTTATAACAGGATAATGACCAACAAAATGAATAAGTATGTTTCTGTACAACCTCTGCTTGAATGTCCTGGTGTGCCAAAATGAAATGCCTCTTGAGGTAACCCAGTCCTGTTTCGGATAACTCTTATTCCTAAAAAGGTTTTTATTAAGTTCAGTTAACATTTATAACTCTTCCTCTTCCATCCAGTGATCCATTTTTTGTTATCTGGATGTTTGCTCTATCCAACATGACAGGCATTCAAATATTTAGAGATAGTTACCAGTTATCTTCTTGTAATAGTATGGTATTGTTTCGTATTATATGTTGTAGTGGTTAGGAGTTTGTAGTCTGCAGCCAGGTTGACTGAATTTGATTCCCAGCTTCACTACTTACTAGCTGTGTGGCCTTATCATCTGTGCCTCAGTTTTAATGATCAATTGCCATCTCTGTTAGGACACGACACCATGAAAGGTAGAAGGCTCCCTGCTCAGTGGTGAGTCAGCTTCTCCCTCTGCCCTTCCCCTAGCCCCCTCTCTCTCTTTCTTAAATATATAAATAAAATCTTTTGGGGGGGTTGCCTGGTTGGCTCATTGGGTTAAGCCTCTGCCTTTGGCTCAGGTCATGATCTCAGGGTCCTGGGATCGAGCCCCACATGGGGCTCTCTGCTCAGCAGGGAGCCTGCTTCCCCCACCCCCTGCCTGACTCTGCCTACTTGTGATCTTTGTCGAGTAAATAAAGAAAAATCTTTAAAAAAAAATCTTTTTTTTTTTTAAAGTATACTTTTCATAATAGTAATCCTGGGGGGGACAACTTGACAAAATCTTTTTGGATATAGGGGATACACACGAAGGCAAACTTTAAGGCAGATGATGACAACTACTGCTACTAAATAATATAGCAGCTAATGCTTACAAGTACTTACTTTGTGCCTGGCACTGAACTAAGGCTTACATGGATTACTCCATTTGAATCTCATTTATTGGGTGATGCAGCTCTGGCAATTAAGGAGTTTGTCCAAGTTCTTATGGCTGGTAAGTAGTAGAGAAGGGATTCAGACTTAGGTAATCTGATTTTAGGGCCTGAACTCTTAACATCGTTACACTATGCTGATGGAGTGAGGTTAAAATCTCTGTATTTCTTAAAATGGAGCATGGATAAAAAATACTGAGAAACACTGCCTTAGACATTTGATTAAAGGTGCTTATATAAGGCAGATGGAAAGATTTTGTTATATGTACTCAATTGAAATACAGGTAAAATATACTAGTATTACTGTTATTTACCAAAGGGCTTTATAACATGTTCATAACAGTAACCACAGTAACCACTTGATCCCTTCCATGTTTGTGAATTTTACTTTAGCTTTAATAAGCTAATCATACAAATCCTTTCTCTTGCCTTGAGTCCTCATTGTGATATTTTATATTTTTTGTATGACTTTTTAATCTAGTGGAATAGAATGGGTATCACAAGGTCCAATTACCCCGGTACCAATTTGGCTTTCAAATATATTTAAACCACACTGGCAGTATTTTAACTCTTAGAAGGCGAGCCTTTGCTTCTTTCTAGTATGATAATATCCGTCATGTGTTTGTCTAGTTAAGTTGAATCATATGACAAGATGGTTCAATATTTTAAGAAGTAAGCAGTTAGAAAGCAAAGCAAATCTTATGTTACATATATTTTGCCACAGTATAAAAAACAAACAGACAAAAAAGTAAAGCAAAGTTGAAGTCGGGGAGGCAGGGATGGATTCTAATGTGGTATGAAGAAACCTGAGAGTGGTAGTAATGTTGGTTATCTTAATTTTGATGATTCACAGATGTATAGATATGTTAAAGCTCATTAAATCATACACTTTAAATACAGTTTATTGTCTCAATTATACTTCAGTAAAGCTATAAAAATATTATAGCACACATACCTTCCCACTCTTCCACCCCTGACAAAGAGCAAAGACTTCTGAAGAAATTCATACAAACATGTCTTTGGATGTGTTAAGTATTTTTCTATTAAACATTGAGGAATTTTAACTTGAAGTTATAGAGAGTAATTGCTGAAATCCAATATAACATTTATTTATTTTTATGGTACCCTTAAAACTGTTTTGTATCATGAATGGAAAGTACAGGTGCTTTTACAGTGACACCTATTTGTAAGGTCAGAAGAGGGAGGAACAGAGATGAAAGAAATCTTTTTT